CTTGACATAGATGTCGGTAGGTCTGTGAGACCTGAATGAATGAATTACATTGTACTATTTATATATAACTTTGTATGTGTTGTTGCAGTAACCTTGGGGTTGAGATTTTACACATCAATTGGAGGGTAAATTAAACTTTGCCAAAAACATTTAGGAAATCAGGAGCAGGCCAGCATAAAGTCACGATGCAAACCCTTTTGAAAATTTATGGATTGATGTTGAAATGCAAATTCTTCTTCTTTTTCTACCCTGAACAGGGTATATTAAGTTTGTCACGGAGTTTGTAACACCCAGAAAGATGCGTCGGAGACCCTATGCCCCTGACCCTGTCCGTCTGTCTGTATATATACAAATTAGTACCTCAGCTTCTAAGATATTGTTTTGAAATTTTGCAAACGTCATTTTTTCTTCAAGAAGCTGCTCATTTCTCAGAACTGCCGATATCGGACCGCTATAACATATAGCTGCCACACAAACTGAACGATCAGAATCAAATTCTTGTATGGAAAACTTTCACAATTGACAAGATATATTCACGAAATTTGGTATAGATTATTTTCCAAGGCAACAATGTAATCTCCGAAGAAATTGTTCAAATCTGTTAACTATAGCATATAGCTTCCATACAAACCGAATGATCGGAATCAAGAGTTTGTTTGGAAAACTTTCTTATTTGACGTGGTATCTTCAAGAAATTCGGCATGGATTACTACTTAAAGTAATAACATAATCTCCGAAGAAATTGTTCAGACCGGATTACTATGGCATATAGCTTCAATACAAACTGAACACATAGTTACTAAAAGCAATGCAACTGTGAATTGTATATTAGCTTCGGTGCAGCCGAAGTTAACGTTTTTTTTTTTTTTTTTTTTGTTATTTACTAGCGTAGACAACGCTTACGCGGTTATAGTCAAGTTAACAACGGCGAATATGTCGTTTCTTCTTTTCGCAATATGGCGCTAATTGGAGATTCCAAGTGAAACCAGATTCTTCTTCATTTGGTCTTCCCAACGGACCATAAATCTTCCGCAGAACCTTTAATTGTTTCAATATTTCCACACTACACCAAACATTTAGAGAATATAAGGGGTTGCGTGCGTTTCCTCGATTATAAAACAGCCTTTTCTCAATAATTTTTTTCTCAATTTTTTGGAACAAAATATTTTAAGCTCGGGCATTCCCGATGAACCTTCGGAAAAAATATGCGCCCGTGTTGGGAGAATAACTTCTTACAGGATCGTCTGAAATAAAAAAATACGTGTTTTAGTTCAAACCTTAACTTAGAACTTGGATAAACTGAAAATTGGATTTTGGCAGACATTTTTACAAAAAAAATGTCAGTGAAAATTTCGCGATATTTTTTTCTTTTTCAAATAACTAAATGAAATCGAAAAAATTATTCGTCGAAGCCTTTAAGAATTGTATCTCAAATACCTGTGTACAATTTCTTGAAGATCGGTTGAGTAGTTCTCGAGAAATCTTTACACCCGACCACCCGACTTTAAAAACACAGCTTCGAGAAAAACGCGTTTAAAGACGACGTACTCTCAAAGCTCCGAAACTATTACTCGGGTGTAGGGACTAGAATGTAGAAGAATATTCTAGAGGTATTGTAGAATTTAATAAGACAATAAAAAATCGATTTTTTTAAGCCCGTAAACCAATGTGATCCCTTAAAGCACTCGGTATGCTTCCCTGAATTCTATAAATCCCTTACTTTGTGTCTTGATTGCTTAACGATTTCTTCCAATAAATATTTTCGAATGAAAAATGATACGAATATTAATAGTTTTCAGTAGACCGGAAATAATTAGCCGCACAATTTCACCCAACCAGCGCTGCAAACTCAAAAAATCGGTCATTATATTCCAATATAGCACACGTTATATTTTATTATATAATAAATACGTGCACACACACACAAACATGTGAAATAGTTTAAAAAACGCAATTTTCTACACCCCCTCTTCCATAAACGGCTGTGCTTGTATAGAGGGATGATGAATCCAGGTGTTCAATAAATTTGTTAGTTCGGCAGGCGATAAGAAATATTTGTGGCGGCTAACATTCGAACACATCTCAACAAACATATGTGTATATATGTATGTATTATAATGCGGTAAGGGAGGTGGGCAGAGGTGACGTTGGTGGTTGGATAGCGGGAATGTAACAAAGTGTATTTTTAACCCTAGTTGACATGTGCACAAGTGCAACAATTATCACTACAAATACAAAGGTTACCTGTTAGTCTTTTTTTTTTACTTCTAATATTTTTGTTATTTTAGCAATAGTTATTGTAATACTTTGTCCATCGGGGAGAGGTTTGCGTGCGTTTAGTGCGTGGAAGCCAATAATTTTTTTTTTTTGTTACGTAAAGGAAATCATAATTACACGGTCAGCGGGGCAACATGTCATTAAAATATATAATATTTCAAAGAATGTACTAGAGACATATTGCAGCAAGTAGAAATTATGTTTTTTTCTAGTTGAGCACTTTGGAATCCCCAACTGGGAAGCGATATTGAAAGCTCCAGCGAAATTCGAACTATCCAAGCTAACCAGCAAAGCCACTGGCTATTGAGTTGCTTCGCTGGAGTTTCGATACCGTTATAAGTTTCACCAACGCTTTTAGATCATACAATTGTATTTATCTTCAAATCTCGCCGAAGATTAGCTTGGAATATTCAATGTTCCTATATATATCACGTTTACTATTTCAGAAATTTTTTGTAGACCTCAGTCGTACTGGCTGACTAATCGAATTTCTTTTTATGACGTCAAGCGATCCTTAGCTAATTTATGTGTATCAGATACCGAATAAAGTTTCTGGGGAAGCAGTTTCATTGGAAATTCGAAGTGTACTGAGGGTGCTGTATCGAAAACCTTCAAAGCTAGAGTGTTCTCTTCCAATCGGACAACGTGGCCTAACTAACGTAGCCATTGCCTCTTGATTCGCTGAACTATGTTAAGGTCGCCGTATATCTCGTACATCTTACAGTTCCATTAACGGCGGTATGCGCAAACGACCATACATCTTTTGCAAAACCTTTCTCTCGAACACTGCTAAGGCCGACGCATCAAATGAAGTCATTGTCCGCGTCTCCGCACTATATACCAGAATGGGAATGATGAGTGACTTATAGAGTTTGGTTTTGGTTTGCAGAGAGAGGGTTTGACTTATCAATTGCATATTCAGTCTGAAGTAGCACCTGTTGGCTAGAGTAAATGAAATTATCTACGACTTCAAAGTTATGACTGTCAACCCTAAGGTGTAAGCCAAGTCGCTGATGCGATGAATGTTTTGTTTTTTCCTCTTAGAGAAGTTTGTACCTACTCTATTAAGCTGCAATCCAGCAATAAATTGCAGAAGTTACCCGATAGATAATCTTTTTATTGGAAACCTCGCTTGATATCAAACGGCTCGGAGAGGTCCTTGCCGAACCTGACGGAGCAGAACAATACATTCAGACATAGCGGCATAGAAGCAGCTCCTTTTCGTGCTATCGAAGGCGGCTTTAAAATCGACGAAATGGTGCTTTATGTCGATCTTCTTTTCACGGGTCTTTTCCAAGGTTCGCAACTTTGTAAAAATCTGGTCGATAGTAGATTTTCAGGCCTAAAGCTGCATTGATAGGGTCGAATCTCATCAGTTTGTTGACGGTGGGGTTCGGTCTTTTACACACGCGGTAATTGGCGTAGATTGTGGGGTTCTCCTTTTTGTGGATTGGGCAGAGTACACTTAAGTTCTAATCGTAAAGCATGCTTTCTTCCGACCATATATTGCAAAGAAACAAAGAAACTAAACTGATGCATGCACCTTATCAGTTCTTCGCCGGTGTATTTGGATAGCTCGCCCGTAATCCATCGGCCCCAGCAACTTTGCTATTCTTCAAGCGGGTAATTGCTATAAGAATCTCATCATAGTCGGGCAATGGAACACCTATTATATCATCCTTAATTTGGCAATCGGGTGCGCCATCTCCAGGTGTTACACTTTTATTGGATTCAGCAGACTGGAGAAGTTTTGCCGATCTGGCTTTGCACTTTTCAATACGTACAGTCAAGTAGTTTGATGAATTTTCATGTGCTGGAAGGTAGTACCACAAATAACCAATAACGAAGCCAAACAGCCTCAATCCTTTTGGAGAGCTACCGCCACGGAGGCTGGATTTCCAACAATTGTACCAAAGATTCTTTGTTTTGCTACCCTGGCATTAAAATTGGCAAACACATTTTTACATGTGGCGGAGGCAGCCGTCATAAGCGCGCTCCAGCCGCTCCTAAAAGGCATCGTCAGTATTATCGTCCTTCTCTTCCGTCGGGGCGGAGGCGTAAATCAGTGTTATGTTAAAAAGATCTCATACGGATTGTGACTAGATGCCAACCACGAATCCGAATTTGCGCTTCTTTATATGGCCGCTGTAGTAAATGTTACAAGGACCCGATTACGCTGAAGCTTCCTCTCTTTTAGCCGTGAGCCCAGGCTCCACATTCTTAAAGTCCTTCCACTTTGTACAAGTATCTGCAATAATTTAACGAGTCCAAGAGTAAAATTAATTTGGTTTAGTCTAATTTTTGGTGCTCAAATTATTTTATTATATCATATCATTGTCAGTGCTTGGGAGGGTTTCTAAAAGTATTGAAATTTTTTCTGGAGTCCATGTCAAAATGAAGTTAATTCATTTTGGTACCTAGAAACGGCTTCATTGTACTACTCAATCTCACAAAAACTTGCGAACATGCTCTCTTTTCGGGAGCTCGGCTAGTCTTGGAAGTCTTCAACTACGAGTATCAGTTGCTTCACAATATTTTTCCTCTCTCACTTTCGTTTTACTTACAGAACCTCCATAAATAAATAAACACGAATTTCTGATAGTTTTGAAACTTGTATTGACTTAGAACACTCCTTTTTTTGAATCTTTCTAAAGAGATAGATTCAGTTTTGGACTTAATAATATCTATTTAATTAAATAAATAATAACTTAAAATTATTATACCACAGAAGAACTTGTTTTAGTTAGTAAATAAGTAAATATGACCTATCATCATGACTTGTAGAGGTTATGCTAAAGTGTTTCGCGAGGATTTCACAGCAGAAGCTTGGTGTTTGCCTTGACGTCGAAGAAGAACTTTTACTTAATATTTATATAATATTTTTACATACATATTTATCGTAATAACTACTAACACACTCTTGACTAGCATCGTTGTCTGAAATCAGTTCTGCATTCTCACTTCCGTTTCTTAATTGCACTCTCAAGATTCGTTATTATTCCGTTTAGATGCCATTTTGATGCACACCATTGCCACCACCGCTTTGCAACTTTGACGCGCCAATACCATCGGCACCGCCACCGCAATATCCCTCCGTTGACGTGCTGCCGCCACCAGTGCTGCTGCCTTCACCTAAATTGCTATAGCCGCTGGTTGAGTCGTCGCTTTGATTGCTATTCTGATTGTGATTGTGAAATTGTTGTGATGTTGTTGTTATTTGATGTTGCTGATGCTGTTGTTGCTGCTGTAAAGGCATCTGCCCCAATGACTGGTGTACACCATTGTGATTGTGCTGGTGATGTGAACTGTGTGTAGGTGCACGGGGATCTTCTGGTGTCCAGGTGCGTGCGTAGAGTTTACTGCCCGGATAGCGGTCCCCCTTGCGATACCACGACAGCGAATGTGCAATACCGCCGCCTGTAAAGGTAGACAATTTCATGTAGTAGCGCGTATTGCAGGATGTATAGATAAATATTTTACTTAGGAAGAGAGATTGCTTTAAGTGTGTGAAATTTACAGAATAATCTTAACAAGTTTTTTTATAGCGGGTTCCAATGTCCTATGAGAAATATTGGGACGCATTGATTTTATACTCTGTACAGGTATATTCAGTTTGCCACGAAGTTTGCAACACCAAGAAGGAAACCACGGAGACAGTGGATTGTATTAGTTTGTCAAAAAAGTCCTGCGGTATTTTCGCTAGTTGGCGCTGAGAGCGCGTAGTTCTAGTTTTATTCGTCGCATCGGGTCATACCTATACCTTTTTGGAAAGCTCATTTCACGCGCTAACACGTGTTTGATTGATTGTCGTTTCTTTTAAGTCGTTCGTGAGTTATAGCGTCGCAAGCATGGAGCAAAATAAAGAGAAAATACGGCATATTTTACAGTACTACTACGATAAAGGCAAAAATGCATCTCAAGCCGCCAATAAAATTTGTGCAGTTTATGGACCCGATACAGTTTCCATTACCACCGCACAACGATGCTTTCAACGTTTTCGATCTGGTGTAGAAGTGGTCGAAGATGCGCCACGCTCTGGAAGGCCTGTCGTCGAAAATTTCGATAAGATCGCTGAATTGTTCGAAAGAGACCGGTATAGTAGCAGCCGTAGCATCGGTCAAGAGCTGAGCATGAGTCATCAAAAAAATTTTTATGAACAATTTAAAATAAAAATACCGCAAGAAATACTGCAAGACATTTTTGACAAACTAATATATACATAATTTTTGAGATATCGATCTGAAAATTTGTTCACGTCTATAACACTGCCATTTTGGCACAGGAGATCTCAGTAGAAGGAACATGTATGGCTCTATGAGCATCGTGGCCTCGTCCTCTAAGAGCTTTAACGAACATATCTTCTAAACGACTAAAGCTACAACCACCACATCCGCCCAGACTAAATATTGTAAGAACTCCTACGGACAGTGTGAACTAGTCAAGTCCTGATGATACCGAAAATTAATCAAAACTCCAATTGCCAGCTTTTTATTAAAAATATCATTAAAGTTGTGGGATATATAGTATCATAGAAATTCGGAGATAATCATTTTCTAAAAAGAGTTTTGACAGGGTGTGCCCTGAAAGTAAGAGGACTGGGTCGATTCAAAAAATTATTGAACCAATCGTTAGAATTCTTTAAAAACTTTCAAAATAGGCTCCTTCTGCGTCGAAATCGCGCTGCGTCACGGAAGATATTCTACGGAATAGCCTTGTGAGCCGAGGTGCATACTGCTTGGATCCCCTTTCATAGGCCTTTTTAAACAATTAGACAGCCTGTAGGGCGGCTGCGGAACCGTTGGCGTTGACGGTTTGTTCAGGAGGAACAAATTCATGGTAGACGATTCTTTTGATGCCAAAAACGACAATGAGCATGATTTTTACTTTGGACTTGCTCATTCTACCGGTCTTCATCAGCAAGCTCTTCCCGACCCTTCAAAAAGACCTGGTGCCAACGAAACACACCACTTCTTGCTTAAACATCCTCTGTGTAAACCCGCTCAATCATATCAGACGTCTCTATCTCAGATTTACCAAGTTTACAAGTCTGCTCTAACGAACGCTGCATTTTCGGCTTTTACCACTCGCGAAAATATTTGTTCTGACTCGCCAGGTGCTCGGAGAGAACTAACCAGCCGCTCGTTCGTTACCTAGGAACCACCTCTACCCAATCCAGTCGGTCGGTCCAAATCAGTCCTGCTCCTTTCCGGACAAACCCTGTATGTCATAAATGGTTTGAATCGGATTAATAATTTGTTTAGCCCCAAATACCTAACAGAAAAATCTTCCAAACTCCCAGTTGACTTTATACCACATACATCAGCAAGAGTCGAGTGGAAACATGCCCTAGACCCCATATAACAAATCTTATGCACCCGAAGGTATTTCTCTGACTTTGTTACTGGTAAGTCGTAAGAGTATGAAATATTCGGTTACTTGTTTATTTATGAAATGTATCATAGTTTCGATGCAAGCAAGGCTCAGTTTTTTTTTTTTTTTTTTTTTTTGATTAGACCGTCAAAGTACTTTCATATTAACCTTTACACCGTTCCCTTATATATTATATGTGAGTCCAAAAAATCATTTACTCTATAAATTATAATTATTAAAAAATTCATGAATGGTAGATGATTCCAGAAATATAATCTTATATTTTCTAAGTGGGCGCCACGTAACTGTATCTACAATGTACTCCCCTCGGCACAAATAAAGAGCTTAGCTCAGTGCTTGATTTCTTCAATGAAAGTGTCAACAATTTTAACGCCCAAACAATTAAAATGCCAGCAAATGCAATTACAACGAAAACGAAAACAACAACAACATAACTCATTGTAGAATCCTTTCCTTGCCTGCCTCTCATCATGTGTACACGAACCCCAGCCGTCTGTCGGCTTGCTGCACTGGCAATCAAGAATCCATTAGCAGCAACATTACAACCCCATTAGAGGGACGATGAGCAAAGGTAAGCACGAAGATGTCGACGGCGCATAATCTCTGCATCGTACTCATGCTTGCCGTTTGTCATCCTGTTTGTTATTGCAGCTGCATGCTGTGCCACAATTATGCTGCCGCTAGTTGTTGCCGCTTTGCTCTCGATTTTTGTTATTGTTTGGCAAATAAGAGTGCCTTCATGTGTGTGTTTGCGCAAAACGTTAAAAACTCGCATGCTGATTGCCTTTTGGCACTTTTTTTATGTTGTTTTTTTATTCGAATTATCCTTTCTGTGTGTCTATACAGTGTTGCATGTTCGGATTTTCGGCAGTTGTAACAACAACAAGCGCAGCTAAGCATAAGCTGCCAATCAGCGCGTGTTGCAGCATCAAGGGTAGAAAGTATCAAGGCTTTGCGCAAGTATGTGCTTGTTCTCACTGGTTTATGGACTGGCTTTGAGGGCGTTACGCAGTGTGCCACCAGCTTCCTGCCAAACAACTTAAGTTTCGTGCAATTTGTTCCGGCGGTAAACGATGCGCTTTCATAGATATGTTGTGTGGGCGGTCGAAGGGTGAGGTCTGTCAAGCTGCGCCGCTTCCCAGACACCGTGTTTAAAGTGCACGAATGGTGTTTTTCAAGTGTTTTCACTTAACAAAATGCAGCATTCACTCCATTATTTACATTGGTGTCAGTTTCTTTGTAAAGTGTCTGTTGAGTTTACTCTTATTTTCGGTGCTTATTTGTTGCCTGTTGATGTGAAAATGTGCAGGGCGTGCGCTTAATACGGACAGTTAATTAAATATGTACACTGTGTTTTTGAGGTAGAGAATTGGAGGCTATCTTTCGTTGAGAAGGAGCTACCCTTCCGATTGTTGTTAATGTAAGTATCTCTGAAGTCATTGTTAGGAATACTGTCGAGTTGACAATCTTTCACGAATAAAAATTCGGGTCCGTTTCGGTCACGTAGACCCGGTTGTCGGTTTTTTTTATGGATCAGTTTGTTTCACCGCTAAATCGGCGGTCCGATACCAATGATTTCTAAAAACTTTTCAATAAAATAATTATTCCTTTGAAACCATTTATTTTGGGACAAAAAAGCACCCGGAAATTTTAATTAAATTCTCCTGGTAAATGATATTTCAAAAAAATATATATTTGATAAGTTGGTAAGACTGTCTGCCATGCTAAATATGAGCGCGATCTGTCACCCAGTTGATTTACATCAACTGCTTAAGCCGGCACATCTCAGTAACGCGTTGCGATTGTTACAATGGATAAAAATGTCGAAGAAAGAGTTTGTCTCAAATTTTGTATTTCTAATCAAATTTCGTGTGAGTAATCGTTGCGAATGCTGAAAAAAGCTTACGATGATTCAGTTTTATGAAAAACAAAAGCTTACGAGTGTTACAAAGTCTTCAAAAACGCTCGAGAGGTCTTTGAAGACATGGCTCGTTCTGGACGACCTCTTCAACTGATAAAAACACTAAAAGAGTAAAGGATATGGAGCTGGAAAATCTTTAGGCATGTATTAGAGAAATCTTGAGGCATGTTTTTGAGAGATGGCTAGATAGCTCGACATCTTTTGCGAGTTCGTTCGAATGATTTTCGACTCGTCCCGACAAAGTTTAATTTTTTCAATGAGAGTACGATTGTGACCGAATTTAAAGCCAAAAACGCATTTAATACCATCGATTAACCACCATATTCACTAGATTTGGCTCCATGTGATTTTTTGTTCCCCAAAACTGAAATTGTCCCTCCGTGGAACCCGGTTTCAGTCGATCGGAAAGAAAAATTCCCGAAAAGAAAATGAAGAGGCTGGGGAGTGCTTATGAAAAGTGTTTCGAGGATTGAAAAATCGATGGCATAAATTTATTACATCTGTTGGGAATTACTTTGAAGGTGACATAATAAATATTAATCAATAATTAAATAATTGATGTCTCTACATATGTATATAGTATATATAAATGATCAGTGTGATGAGCTGAGTCGATTTAACCCTGTCCGTCTATCTACCTGAATATAAGCGAACAAGTCTCTCAGTTTTTGGGATAATAAATTGTGTGTTCTTTTCTCTCCAAGAAGCTGCTTATTGGCAATCAAGCACTTGTAAGGAAAATTTTATTATATAACAAGATAATATTTTATTTGAGAAGGATATTCTGGCATTGGTGCAACCGAAATTAATTTTTTTTTATTTAACTATCAACTTAACTATAAAATTAAAGTTTTATCAATTCAGGACAATTTCTACACATTTCGTCATTACATCTAAAAATTAACACTACAAGTCTTTAAATAATCTCAAACATGGAAAATAAATTTACTCTTCCTTTCAACCACCCACATCCACTGTTTTACCGACACCACTTTGTACACCCATCTTCGACGGTGTTTATTAGCTATTCGTACCTTCAGTGCTATGCGCCAAATCATTCAACTTTTTCGAACATACATACGAGTATACTACTATAGTATCTACA